AGGTCAAGATTGGTAAGATGCATTGGTTAAATGCCTTCCTTTTCAGGTGAATTGGGATGATATTTATTTTAAAAATGTCTCGCATCCTTCCATATGCCGCCCATCCCAACGTGATTCGTCTATTTAGCTCGCAGGTTTGGTTGTCTCTGGTTATTCTAATTTCATGACCCAAGTATGTGTATTTATCGATTAATTCGACCTTGTTGTTATTAATCTGTATCTCTTCTCTGGGAACCATATTGGTCATCATTTTGGTTTTCTCGAAATTTATCTCAAGCCCAGTTTCTTGTAGTATCTCATTCAGTTCTTGGATCATGTCTTTGATCTCTCCCAGATTATCTGACAGAAGCACGATATCGTCCGCAAAACGTAGATGGTTTAATCTATCTCCATCGATGGATATTCCTTTCTCTTGCCATGTTAGTTTTTTAAATGCATACTCAAGAACGGTAATGAACAGCTTTGGTGACATGGTATCACCCTGCCCGACTCCCCTTTTTATCTTTATTTTATTAGTTGCAGAATGTAGACTTATGGTTGTAGTGGCATTTTCATATATATTTTTGACTATATTACAATATATGTGGTCGACCCTGCAATCTTGCAGTGCTCTTAAGATAGACGGTAGTTCCACTGTATCAAACGCCTTTTTAAAGTCTACAAATATCAATGCCAAGGGACGGTTATATTCGTTAGTTTTTTCTATCAGGGTTTTTAGTCATTGCAGGTGATCGTTTGTGCCGTAATTAGGGCGAAATCCAGCTTGTTCCCGAGGTTAGTAAAAATTCAGCTTTGTCTCAAATCTGTTCGTTATTATTCGGGTGTATAATTTATAAAGATGGTTAAGGAGACTGATTAGTCTGTATCTTTCCAGGTCTGCTATATCTCCCTTCTTGTATAAGAGTACAGTTATTGAATTATTCCACTTTGTTGGGATATTTTGATTCAATAGGCATAGATTAAAGAGCTTTTGAATTTTGGCTATCAGTACTGAGCCTCCTATCTTTATCGCTTCCGTGACAACACTGTCCTCCCCCGGAGCTTTGTTATTCTTCATATTTTTTAGAGCCTTGTAAATTTCGTCCAAGGAGATTTCTGGGATACCTTCGGAACCCTGATTGTGAACCTTCCTTTGTTGATATTTAACTATATCTAGAGTCGATTGGTTGCTATATAATGTCTCATGAATGATTCCACAATTTGTAACAAATGTTCTCTGTTTGATGTGATATTGCCATTTCTATCCTTGAGTTTGACTATTTGTTTGTTTCCATTTGTGAGTTTGCGTCTCATTATTTTCATACTCTTATTTTCCTCAATGGTTTTGAGGATTTTCTCATCTTTGTATTTTCTTAGGTCTTTTCTGATTTCTCTTGATACTTCCTTGTTCATTCTATTTATATCGTCGTTACTAGAGTTTTCGTGGCTTCTCAGTATTCTTCTTTGTTCCATTTTTTTCTGTGTTTCCAGACTATTTTTTTCTTCCTTCACGCTTTTTGGGCAGCATTTCTTTTGAGCTCCTGTTATTACTTCTACTATTATGTGATTTAGGATGTTAATATCATTTGTTGATGATTTTTCTTGAAGGAATTTACCGATACGATCTTTAAAATTTTCTTCGTTGTTTGGATGTGTCCATATGTTTATTTGCTTCTTTTTTTATCATATTGTGTCGTTCATAGTTGGTATTTAACACAATTGTTGCTCTCGCCATACGATGGTCGCTTGATTTCGCAAATTTATTTAGCACTGTCACATCTGTAAATATGTATCTTTTATCAGTAATAAAGTAATTGATCTCGTTTGTCGTCTTCCCATCTGGGCTTTTCCACGTCCATCTACGGTGAGGTTTCTTGTAGTAGTAACTGTTCATTAGGAATAGATTTTTCTCTAGTAGAAAGTTTAAAAGAGTGTCGCCACGGTTATTTCGTCCCTGACTTCCAAAATTTCCAAGAGCAGTTTCTGCTGGATCCAGTTTTGTTCCTATTTTGGCGTTAAAGTCTCCACATATAACTGTAAAATGTGTGCGGTTGTTTGTGATAGCTGTGCTTAAATCATCATAAAAGACTTTGATCTCCTCGTCTGTATATTCTGTTGTTGGAGCATAGACTTGGATAACTTTTAGATTATATCTAGTATTTATTTTGAACGTGGCATATGTAACTCTAGTGGATGCTGATTGGACAGTTTTTAGATTTCCTGCTGGCTGTTTGTTTATGAAGAATCCGACACCTCCTACTGACTCATGTTGTTCTCCGTGATAGTAAAACAAGTGACCGGATTTTAGGGTCTCGAGGCCTTCACCTTGCCTTCTCACTTCACTAACTCCGACGATGTCCCATCTGATCTTTTCTAATTCTTCTTCCATTTCTTTAAAGCTTTTATCAGAAAGTAGAGTTCTAGTATTCATGGTTGCAATTTTGAAAACTGTTTGTTTTTTAAAGCATACTTTTGTCAAATTTGTGTCCCTCCCAGAATCCTAGGGACAGACTGATAAATCAGTGTGAGTGTCTACTCACCTGGGGTAGTTTCCGTTTTGTTTTAAAATCTGACATTTGTAAGGGTTTTTGGCTAAGTTCAATGCCACGCGAGTCACTGCGTGTTGGCAAGGTTTCAGTTTCAGCCGCCCACTCTGGGAACAGACGCTGTTTGCAGCCGCCCACTCTGGGTCAGTGGCCGCTGCTGTCGCAGTATCACAGCCGCTTAACTCATAATGTGAGTGACGCCTGTGGGTATCTGGAATTAAGCCTACAGGATTTTTACTTCCCATAGCCTTAATCGAGTAATGACATTACTGCTGCCTAATGTCATATCCTCAGTTGATCCGCGGGTACTTATTTGGCAATGCCTTATTCGTACCTGTCCTGCATATCTGCAGGAACTTTCCCTATCCATATGGGACGTGCCGTGTCGAGGACATCCCCCGTCCAGTATGTCTTCCGTGGAGTACAGAAGAGCCCCTACTCAGTTCAGAGTTTCTCCTCCACGAAAGCTAAGACCAACACAGGACAGGATAATATCATACGACCTTTAAAATCCGAGTGAACCTTTTTTTTTTAATTCACTCAAAAGTGTGCATTGACAAGACCATGGTACCATCTCGTGGTCTCCTTGGCAACCAAATTATTAGAACAAAAGACGGAACTGATGAGCACCCTCCGTAGCAACCGAAAATATAATCCTAAAGAGGTGGCCAAAAAAAAATTAAAACCGAAAGAAATATATGCCAAAGAAAGTGATTCCGGAATTATGGTCATGAAGTGGCGTGAAAAGAGTGATTAGTGTTGCCCAAATGCAAGAACAAGACGAGACTTAGACAGTCTTGATCTTGCGCCAATACACCTGGTCTTGGTATTACGCTCCCGGTCTTGGTAGTCTGGCAGTTACCCATTAGCTTATTGCTATTTATTAAACGTTACTTTAGATTTTAGAACAACGTGACAGAGTAGGTACACTTTAAGTTTGAATTAACATAACTAAAATAAAAACCAACCAAATTGATAAATGTCTCAACAACTGACACCGGGTGGGTTTGAACCCACGATCCATGCGTATGCTCTAACTAACTGAGCTATCTACCATGTCCTACGGGAGTCAATCTGTTTCTTAATAAACGTTTGCATTTAATAAGCTCAAATGGGCCAAAACGTGGTTAAAAAAAAAAAAACAAATTAATGACATAAACTTGACTGTATTTTAAAGAACTAGAAAGTCTAGAAAGGGATTGATGGACCCTCAGCTTATATGAAATGGAATAAGAGTTATACAATTTGCCATTTATTTAAATAAAAAATAAAATACAATACAAATTAAATTACAGAACAGTATGAAATAAAGAGGTTCAAATCTTTGTAAGTAGGTATATTTAAAAAAACCGTTAAAAGGGCTCCATCGTTATAAATAACAAACGTTTTCGGAAAAATAATTCCATCATCAGGTTAAAATGCCTGAGCCACCAAAATATTAGGGTAAAACCCTTTACAGTAATTAAAGTTACCAAAAAATGTGCATATTGTTATTAAAAATGAATGATGTTTAATATTTTATTAGATTTTACTTCAGGCAACATATAACCATGCCTTACGTGAGTACCTGCATCCGGAGGGTAGATCTCATCAAACGGACTTCAGCTGGTAACTGGTCGTCAGTTGCAGTAACCTGCTTTTAATCTGATGATGGAGTTATTACTTACAAAGATTTAAACCTCTTTTTGTGATACATGGTATACAGCCAGCTGCAGGAATTTATTTTCCTTGTCTTTATTATCTTTTCTACATTATTCTTAATTTAATTTTGGTCTTGAATTATTTGTGTTCTTCTCTTATCTTTCCTGTTTATCGCTTTACTTATCCGATAGTCAAAGTTACAATGGATTTATTTGATATTTTTTCTCTTCTTGCTTTATTTCTTCACACATGTATCCAAGATCAGTATTTTTAAAGTAATTTTCTATATACTTTATAATTTTTTTACTATAGTTACTTTTCCTTTTTTTTAACTCTATTGGCTTTTTTTTCTTTACTAGTGTTATTACTCTTCTGGTTATTTATGTTTAGTACTTAGCATCTTCAGTCGCATTTTGCCCATTCTCTAGTTTGTTTTTACAAGCTTATTCATACCATTTTTTTATTCTTACTTTTACTAACCTAATGTTTTAAATCGTTATGAGAAATCAGCACCGTTACTCCCTGCTGCAGTCTATATTCCAAGGTTAAGTCAAAGGTAAGCGAAGACCCGGTAGAAGGAGAATATCATGGCTGCGGAATTTAAGAACATGGTTTAAGAAAACCTCAACGGAGCGGTTTCGAGCCACAGCGAGCAAGGTTATGATTGCTAATATGATTTCCAACATCCGAAACGGATAGGAACCAGAAGAAGAAGAATGTTTTAAACTTATATCATTGGTAGCTTTAATTTTTAATTTTCAAGAAACTATTACCCTAAAATGTATTAATAATAAGTTAATAAATTATTTTGCAAATTAAATAAAACCACTGTGTATGCTTATTTATACATTTAATCACATATATGTACATAAAACAGATAAAACTGCTAACGACTCTTATTAGTTGCATTACCTCCACTGTGCAGTGTAGTTACTACTGGGGGTAAGGTGGTTGCAGGAATAGTGTTATTAACAGAACCACTGGGTCCATGGAAAAAATATAACATAAATCCTGCTGACAACATTAAATGAAAACCTATGATAAAAAACATTAGCAAAAACTTCCTTTGTGAAAATCGCAATGCTGGCATTAATGTTAGCAATAATACTGAGCCAGATATGAATGTTCCAAATGCTAACAAGGTCCACTGCAATATATTTATTTGGATTGACCATAATGCAGATACTGGAATGTATATGAATAAGGAATAACCATAAATACAGATTAACTCCAAAATGCCAGGTGATAATTCCTCATCTAAGCCTTCAACATCTTGTATATGAACACTCCATTTTAATAAACCCCACAATATCAAGGGAATTATTGTTACATATGAAAATATAGTTGTAGCAGAATAAGATACTAAATGGAAATCATATCTCCAATGATATTGGGAATTGGAACTCTGTAAATAGTTTGCTATATTTCCTCCAATTGCAATGGTAAAGATAAGGGTAACTGATATCCAGAATGGACCATATAGATCCGGTTTGGTCCTTAAGTGATTCTTTAGACGGTTATCCCATTTAGGAGTTATGGATGCCATTATCCTCTCCACAACATCCGATGTGTCTACATCAAAGTATTTTTGGTAATATTCTAAAGTCCAAAATGCTTTTTCTGTTGTGGGATCTAAAATAAAATGAAATATTTTACAGCCATATCTGATATAATTCGCAATCAAGACAAATTCAATTTACTACAATTGTGTCAATGCATTTATACTATTAACAAGAAAAAAAAATAACATAAGTAGACTAGTTCCCAAATGCATTGACCAATTGATGAATATTAAATAGTTCTAAATACTTCTTAAAATAAAGCCACATTCATAATATACTATTTCCTAAAACATTTAACTTGCTATCAGTGACACTGTTAAAAAAATTTGAGAATTATGAACTGAATAAGCTATAAATGCTATGATTCTAGCATACTAAGCATAGGAAGTCTGCAGATGTCACCAAAATTAAATGTTACTTGAATGTCTTCCAATAAATGTACAATAATGGCAGAAATAAATAAAACATGTTATTAAGGAACCACAGAAAATGTGGTAATTAAATATTTTCATAGAAAAAGAAACATCAAACCAATTATTGTTATTAACTTTGGGAAAAACAGCAGCTACCCATAAGTTTGATATAATGAACCATAACTAAATGTTTGTGTCTTTTCCTAGATACATTTAAAAAAGCTTTTTAGTACCCAATTTCTGATCAAGTTTTCTTTGTTTAATTATGGGTATACTCAATATTAAGATACTTTAACAGGTTAAGTGCCATATGCATTTAATTGGGTGGACACAAGTATCCCTCACTGGTGCCAACACAAAATCTTGTGAACTGCTCAGGAGTGCCAGAGCTGTATTTTCTTTATTTATTACCACATAACCATTTTACAAGATCTGTTCAGTTTCTAGTGGGAGAAGCAAGATATTAGCACATTAACCCTTTCAGTCACAGTGTTGTCACAAGAATTTTAACTTTGTTTAAGTAAATATTACAGGATGTTATGGTATAGCAACAGTGTAGTTATCTCACAACATTCAATATTAATTAGATTTACGATCCGTAATACTCTGTTACATTCCAGTTAAACTAAAGCAGTTTCTCTGTTTACATTCACAACGGTTTATGAAAGCTATCGATGCTATTAAAATTATTATATTTTTTTACCCTTCTAAAACTGAGATAAATTCTGTTCTTTTCAAATATTGGAAGCGTCTAGGTGCAAATAATAAAATTAAATAGCAAGTATACTTCAAAATTTCCATAATATGTCAAATTCTTTTTTTGAAATTATATGTCGTCATTTGACGACATCGTGACTCAACAACTTGAGTAATAAACATTTTCACGGTTATTATTAGATCTAAAAATAAGTCAAATAAAGAGATTTAGGCCTCTTTCCGGCCATCTAAAGAAACTAGATTTAGTTCATTTTAGGGCCTATATTGCAGAAGCTTTAATTTCATGTCGCATAGGAGCTACAAAAATAGAGTGCACGTCAAATGGTACTAAATCAGAACCATTGAACAATAAAAAGAATTAGGAAACCCGGCCTACTGATGATGTAAAGTTTGACAGGATAGCGCATTTTCTATTGCATGCAGAAACGAAATCTGAAGATGTAAACTCCCAGAATGTAAAGTACATCTATGTTTGACAAAAAATAAAAATTATTTTTTACGATTTCATAAACCGAAATTTTGTTTAATATATTATAATCATTAAATCACGTTTTTTTAAGTAAATAAATGTATTTTTATCCTAACGTATAGCTGTAAAATTATATGTCATACTCATTAGTTTGTAACCAGTTAGTCACAATGTCGTCAATTGATGACATCAAAAAAGGGCCTTACTTTAATAAAAAAATGGTAATATTCTTACCAAAAGACGTTAAGAATACCATAATTGGGTAGGAATTATTAACAAAATATTTTTCATTGCAATAAAAAAAAAGCGTGACCGAAAGGGTTAAAACTTGTCCACCCAAGTGGTTGGACATCATACATTTTCAGTGAAATACAAAATCAATATCCACTCAAGTGGGTGGTCAAAAAAATATAGCTGATTCAAAAATTTTATTTATTAGAATTATGAACATTTTCAAAACACTCAAAATATAAAAATGGTTTATATGGGCATGTAGTATTACAAAATTGCTGACTTTCTTGGATTTAGTTTTGGCTACTGTTCTACCAGAAACAACTGAAATTTTCTCATAGCAGTATTTGCAGTCCTTTTAATTTTATATATGTATAACCACTTTGATAACAAAGTTTAAAAATCTCCTATATCATATTTATGTGATTTTCTTGGGGTATATTGTTTAACATTTAGCCTGCCACTAAAAGATACTGTTGACTCATCAATTACTAAGTTTTCACCAGGTGTTTTGTTGTGTTGAAAATTTTTTTGTATCAAAAAGACTAGTGGCAGAAACTTACATAATCTGCCCCCTTCAGTATTTTCCCCAAAATACCAAAATTTATCAAAAAAAAAAAACAAAATTTGGAATCAATTTCTAGTCAAAAAGGAACATATTTTTTGTTATATATTCTATTATTCAACCAATATAATTGAATCAAGGGCATAATAATATGTATCAGTCCCATCCATATCCTAAGACCCAAGAATATTTTGATTTCTTGGACATTCATATTTTTTCATTCATTTCTTTATAACAACTTCTTACAGTGTTATTTTGTAAAAACTTTTGAGCATTTTTGTTCGTTTCTGTTACCATCAGTTACTAAATAACTGAAAATATCAAGTTTTTCCATCAGCAAAACATTTATTTTTTCCTCTCTTATTAAAGAACATTTTTTGATTGGAATGTAAGTTCACTCCACTGTTCATTGCTGGCATTGCCATATAACATCCTCAGTTGCAGATAGATCAGTGTCACTGTGGTTATTGTCATTTATTCCTTCAATGTGTTCATCACTTTCTGATGAATAGTGTTAGTCAGAATCATTGGCTACAAACTCACTCCCTGAATTCTGGAAATGCTTGAAAAATATTCTCTCCTATTCTCATTGCTATTATTTTTTCCAATTCTTTTGTAGTCATCTTATTTTTCCAATGGCTACTTCCTGTAAAGGATAACTTATGCTTTTCATGTTCCATTGTAATTTAGTTATACATAAGTAATTGAATAAACCACTAAACTTTAGCTAAATGGTACTAATGGTAACACACATGCTACAGAGAAATACAGTTTTTACTGTCTACCCGTACCCATTTGGATGTACACTTTCATTTACAATTAATTGTTTTTTGGTAATTCAGATGTCTGTTATTTAATTTTACTTTGGTCTACACATTATGTCAAAATGTAGGTAGTATAGGGATCTGTAATATAAATATAGGTCATATTTCTCAATTTGAACCACATTATGTCTTCGCACTAGTTTAATTGGTAATTCATTGTTGTACAGCAAGTTGGGTGCATACAAGCAAACATTTGAGTTTTGTTGTCCCCCATTTGGGTAGACATATACAATGTTTTGAGTTTATGGAAAAGACGCCTGGCACTTAACCTGTTAAAATAAACACTTTTTTCCATCCGTTTTTCAGTTGCAGGTATTATTATGCATTCTCAAATTAAGACTTTTCCACCAAAGTAAAGCTTTAACATAGTATCAACAGTTTTAAAAATAGCATGTACATAGTGACCTACCCTTTATAAAATAAATGGTGTAGAATTGCTAACCTGGAAATCAAACTGTGTAATAATTATATCTCAGGATTATCTGCAACTCTTATTCTTACTCAAAACTTGAGACATGTCATTACACTTTTTATTAAAATATGAAACATGATATTCTCACTATATTCTTGTGATGTAAATCTCCTGAGATGATTTTATTTGAGAATCATCATCATGGTATTGTCACTCAATTATACTGGGGAATTGATTCACAGGAATCTTCTATGGTTCTACAATTGATTGTGTGATCTACAATCTTCCCCTTTCTTGCCTTTGCATATAGATCTTCAGCTTCTAAATCCATACCTCCCAATCTTCTCAATTATATGTTATTACCATCTCAGTTTGATTTTTTACCTTGTTCTATTTAGAATTAGTTTTCATTTGATGATTTTCATATTTGCTACTGGATGTTATATCAATGGGAGTCTTGATGCTTTGATAAATCTGACAATGTATACTCCTTCCAACTTTTCCCTTATAACAGGTCCAGAGGTTGTATATCCTCTTGCTCCAGTAGTACCTTGTAGAATACCAGTGTAGTATTAATGTCCCCCAATACAAAATAAATATAGTAGATCTACTTACTTGTTGCATCAACCCCTGGAGCATCCCCTGCTCCTGGAAGATTGTGACTTGGGCTTATATTTCCGTCTACATAATTTACATTGATTTGTGCCTCTGAAATTGGTATGGTTCTGTTGTCTTCACCGGAGATGTGAACACTAGGAAAATCTTGGAATGACAATAATTCATCTGTTGGTACTTCTTGAAGATTTGTCATTTTGTTTGTTTTATATTATACACACATATTATATCTATATTACTTGATTTTCTAGTTTTTGTGGCTGGCTGTAGCTAGTTTAAGTATTTATCGATTTTTTAACGTAAACAAGAACACGACAGCATTTGCTATCACTTGCTATTTTTGACGTTCACAAGATGTGTCAAGTGACAGCTGACATTTGTCAAATAAGAATTTTTGTGTGTATAGTAGATTGCATAACTGTTAGTGCCTAATACCGTATCATGCCTAATACCTATTATGATAATTGATTTAATCTAATTTTGATTTTATTAGGATATAAAATAAAAATTAAACAAAATCTTTCAATATTTATTAAGAAAAGTTAAATTTTTTTTAAATGCAAACATTAAAAGGAAACATCTTAAGAGACAATAAGCTTGTTAAGTTCTAAGAATTTTCGCAAGGGGCCAAAATAAACAATAAAAGTATAGAAATTATAGAAAGTATAGAAGTTATAAGAAAACAATCTTTATTCCAAGCAAATAGATAGATCCATCAAAATACATTTTCCAGAAGTACTTCACTCGAGAACAATCACAAAAGGGACAGAGCTACAAGCTACAATTTCGTAGTGATCGAAGTTTCATGGAATCAAGGGTTATAATTTTTGTTGAGGGGGCGCTGATTCGAGAAAACAAAAAATAAATAGGTACTTACCAAAAGCCTAATTCTTAAAATGAAATTCACTGCTTCTGTTTTTATAGGAGATAAACCTTTCCGTTACCTTTCCGTTGAAGTCGGAAATTTCCATACCTAAAATTTTTGTAATGGACAATATGACAAGCGCCGTTAGCCTTTCTTCCGACGTTGTACCTCTTGGGTGGTACGTCCACCTAATCGTATTAATCAATTCAAAGTAGAGAAACATTTTTCAAGTTCTGCAGTTTTTATTGGCATCGTTATTAACCCGTAACCGGTGACGTCCGATTTTAGGAACATAACCCATATCCCATTAGGATCATCATAAATATGCTGGTCTCAATAATTATTTTATCACATTGTTTATAATAATCTGTTCTTTAGGCATTTTTGCAATATCCTATTGCCTTTTTAGTTCTTTATGTTGACTATTCTAATTATTAACATTTTTGTCAAAAGTTGCAAATAAATAAAGTAGGTACGGTGTTACGTCGGAAACTTAATTTTTTTTTAATATTTCTAAATTTGGTAATGTACAAATGGTTTTAATATTAGGTATAACAAATATTGAATAATCTATGGTAATAAAAATTATCATCAGTAGTCTAAACGTAACGGAACGTGCAGGGGGTAAATAAGGACAAAAAAATGGGATTATTTTTTTTTTATTCTTTTTGAACGTTACAGTTTCTGCATATTTTATGAGAACAAATCAAGCAAATTGGTTTTTTACAACAGACGCATAAATAAGATGTCTTCCTATGAAGTTTTGAGGGGCAAATGTAGCAATACTTTCGAACTGCTAACCGATCTTCTTGAATAGAAGGAGGTTCAACCACGCACAGTATTCGCTTTATATTTTCTCTTATTTCTGTCGGGATTCTGCTGTTATACATTCGTTGTTTCATGTGTGCTTCAATTAAGCTTTTAGCCAGTACCTTCATAAAATCTTTCCTGTCTAAGGGTTTGGATTCTCTATAACACTGATACATAACGAAAGCGTTAACTATAATCATATCTAGTATTTTGTAAAATATAGCCATTGGCCAACGTTGCGTTCTTCTGGACGAACTGTAAACCGTATATTTTTCATCCAAAGCATCAACGCCGCCTTTCGTCATATTATACAGACTAATTATTTCTGGTTTTTGTGTTTTTTCATCTATGGCTATACTATGATGCATGGAGGATAATAGTATGACGGCTTTGTTTTTTTTAAGAACATACGAAAGAAGTGTAATGACTTTTGTAAAACCGTATCTAACTGAACCAATCTCTATATCCTTTGAGGAAGAAACTCAGGAGAAATATGTCTTTTAACCTTTTTCATAGTTCCCACATATGTTAGGCCATTAGATTTTAACAACTGAACTAGTTCTATAGACGTGAACCAATTGTCAGTTGTCACATTACGATTACTGCCAAATAATGGCTTAGAAATCCGTAACACAGATTAAGTAGGTTTAGCAAGTTTTTTCTCAGTTACTGAAAGGCCCATTCCGTCGGAATCTTGACCTGTATATACATACGCATTGTACACATAGTTGTTTCTTGCATCTGTTAATATCATAATTTTATTTTAAGTCCATATTTTCGTGGTTTGTTTGGAATATACATTCTAAAGCGTGATCTACCCCGGAAACCAACTAATATTTCATCAATGCATACATATTCACAAACAGAAAACTCCGTTTGACAGTTTTGAATAAAAGATTCAAATAGTTCTTGAATTGGTGCTAGTGGATTTACCGCTTTTCGTTATTCTCTCGTGGAAGGGTCATCAAAACGTAAACAAGTCAATAAAACTGCAAATCTCTTGGCACTCATTACGGACCGAAAAATTTCTCTGCCCGTTCCATCTGTAGCAAATATGTCTTCATCATTGGACTTAAATACTGAGGTGTAAATTAGTAAGCCTAAAAATGCTTCCATTTCGACCTGGTCGACATTTTTTAATTCCAGCCTCTTTTCATTTTTGTATTTGACCCTAACACTCACCAATTTTACATTTGTCCATTCGACTACAACATTTAACATTTGATTTGTAAATAAACAGTTCCAAATTTCCTTTGGAGGTGCCGAAAGACCAAGAGACCGAGCCTTTCCTTGCAGCCCCGGTAAATGTACAATAATATTATGCTTTTGAGTACGAATATTTTTTGGTGCACTAGCTGACCACTTAAATCTGTTTTTAACATAAAAGTAGTCTTCTGGATCAGATTCACTATCAGACTGCTCAGATGCCGACTCATGACTGCTTTCTATTACCGCATCACTGTCAATATCATCAATATCACTATATTCAGAGTCCAAATCATTGAACCAATTTAACACTTTCTCTTCAAATTTCGGATCTGTAACACTAACCGATCGTGACGTACTTGGTAGATGATCCATTATATTATAGTTTATACGAAGAAATATAAAACACTCGATAAAAAGTAACTAACGGTGACGTTGAGTCTCGCTGACTCCAATAACGTCTGTTCTTGCAAACGGCTAAACGTAAACTAATACTAATCAAACAAAAACGCTTGGTTTATGAACTATTTTTAGAAAGGTACTTAGCCGCAGGCCATCCAGAGTCGTCCGCTTCAATATTTTAAACCGGTTTTTAATTTCGCAAGAGTCTCTCAGACTCCACGTCACCGGTTACGGGTTAAAATAAATAAAACATCATCTACTTATTTCACAAAATGATAAATCCAAAACAAATGAATTGAATCTAAGAATTCATTTTGTACAGTAAAGTTATTGAAGCACTTTTAAAAACATTAACTTCTTTTAAGTGAGTAGACAACGTGAAATCAACATTTTTAGTGTAATTATCTGGTTCTAGCAACACACACTTATTAATGGCCCTTCTAGACTCATTATAACTACGTAGTGAAAGACCTCATTGGCTTCACAATTTCATATACTTACCCAACGAACATTTTTGACAGGACGAAACGGTTTTTTGATATCATTTCGTTGTCAACTCTAAGGACCTCATCACTTATTATACTTATTATACTTATATATAAATAACTAAAAAACAATTAATAGGAAAAAATGACAATATATATTAGGGATCAATACTAGTAATAGTAGGATTAGTATTAGTAGGAATTTAGTATAAGAAACAATGACTAATGAAAAAATGAGTACAAATTGTAAGATTGGCGAATGGATTTAGTGTCCGCAGTCATTTAAACACAAACAAACAACAACAACAACATTTCGTTGTCCATACTGCATAGGAATGTTTACGACATATAAGTTTACAATATTGTTCATAATCAATATTGTACATATGTGGACGGTATTTTCCTATCCTTCAACTAGGAAGGCTCCCGATGAGAGAATGAACTAAACCCTATAATATTTCCCGCTGCGCTTAAAAGCAGGGCCGCTACATCCGCCGTTAATGCCGAAAGGTCCAATCTGAACTTCGCTATCAATTCACAGCAGTATATTCAAGTGAAAGTGACAGCTTGGAACTATTCATGTAAATGACTGGCCAGGACTCGGTACTCCGAGCAAACAACACAGGAAACGTGGAAAATGCAAACAAGCTGGGAAACTAACACCAAGAAGGTAACGTGCGATAGAAATGTGCTTAGAAGTGGATGGAGAAGAAGTCTAGATAATAGACAGCGATGACAGATGCTATGAAACCGTTTGATAAATTTGCCTTGATAATAAACCTCGAACTCAAGATTTCCACTAATAAAATACTGAAATATTACCTATTACTAATTAACTAACTACGATTTAAGTATTTGGTTATGACATTTCTCATTTGAATTATTGTGAAAATTTGCTTTATTAGGTCATCACCAATAAAAGACTGAAGAATTCCCTAAGTTCAGACTTCTGATTTTGTACCTTTCAAAAACCAAAAGTGAGGACCTAAAAGGTAACATTTCCCCATCTTAAAAAATAAAATAAAGGACTCATGCTGGAGAGCTGAATAATGCTAGGCTCTAAGACGATCTTCGATATAGAACTACATGCGATTCTTCGGTTTAAAAATGACTTCGAGGTAGAATTGAAGTTTCTGCACCAGAAGCTCTCTTAAAAACCCCATATTTTTCGGTTAAAGTTTTGCAGTTAAATGAAAAGGAATATATGCAGGCTGGGGACACTAATGAACCAGAGCATGAGGTAATTACTTCCACGCAAGAGACCAAAGGGAATCCAAGATCAAGAAACTGAGCTAGGAGTTGCAGCCAGGACAAATTCATAAACGTCTTTAAAAATTTTGGTGGATTTTATCTAGAGCACAGAATTTCTTCTCTCCTTAAAGGACTGGTTTGGTACAAAGGTCTTCCTACTTCGCGCCATAGACAAGTAGTATATCGTGTGGAGTAACAACAAAAATTAAAATACCTAATAATAATAATTGTTTATTTCCTTTTAGACAAATACAATTTGTATAGGATTGGTTAAAATTGTTAAAACTAGGTCTATTTGTTAAATATTATAGATCTAATTAATTTAAGAAGA